GGAGGAATTAGTAATTTCTGCTTTAATGCTGGTCCTGCTTTCGACTATACTTCCACGCTTTGCCTTGCTTTCAGTGTGTCTCTCTTCCCCGGTTTGCTGCCTTTGACAACATTTGCAAATTTTCATCAAAAAGTTTGCTATTGGCTTGTACCAGTCTTCTTCTTGTGATGCAGATTTTGCTTCCCTTGTCCCTGATAAGTTATTTTATAAAAAGCAAAATATGAAAGTTTCCTGGAAGTTATTTATCTTTTGCAAAGCAAAACGAGTTTATCGTGTACATTTATGCCCTGGGTTTAGGCCAATCACATGAAAGACAAATTTTAGCATAGGAAAGTAGCTTTGTTTTACACTGTTCCCTCCCCCAAATAGATAAAGTACGTATGGCATATCATTTCCTGGGATATTACATGTACATGCATTTTTAATCCTATTTTGAAGATACAAGGACGCATCGTTTTAAAGCCGCAACAGCACAGGGATGGTGCATCCCTTCATTTTCATTGTAAATACCATTTAAGGACGTTCGCGCGAAAATTTTCCAGTCAATAGATTTTTTGAAAATTTTTACTGCAGTCAGATAATGAATTCCTTGTGTCAGAAATGCAAAAAAAATGGGGCAAACCGTCTTCGTTTCAGAGATAAAGCGTATGGAAAACTACTCTGATTCTGAAAAATTGCCGCACGCAATTAAGCATGGTCTACAGGGGTTTATAGTTAAAAATATCGAAGGTGAGTCAACGGAGGCAAACGATCTTAGTCATATTTTGTAGAAGTAAGTCTGTTGCGTAAATGATTCCAAATGTTACCAGCGCTTTCACCAAACTTAACCCTTCAAGAGGCATTTGAAACCATCGCACAGATAAGCGAAGAGCCAAAAAGAACGGAATTCGAAGGTGCATTTTCCAAAAAAATTCAAACTTCTAGTCGATGGATTTTCTTCATTTTTTCGCTTAATCTAGAAAAATCGGTAGAGAAAATGATCCATCAAAAGAAAAATAGGGGTCACCGAATGTCCACGATCGTTAAACCAAGGAAAAGCTATAGCAATGGCCATCTGCCCTATCATTGTCCATTTTGTTACTTAGCGCGCGCGTTCATGCATGACGTGGCGTGTGAATTTGCGTGCGTAGTAAGGATGCGCAGAAACAAGTAGCGCGAACGTCCTTAACGCAGATGCAACTACTTGCTATCTTAAAGAGGAGGCCGGGGTCGTTCGAAAGGTGTATAACGCTATACATCGGATAAATCACTTTGCATTGGGGACTGTTTGTTTTGTTGACACTAAATAGCGATTTATGCGGTGGATAGCTTGAATCGCATACTTACCCCATGATCTGTCCGTTACATTGCAAAGAGAATATATTGTCAGTAACACGTTCCCAGAGGGTAGGCACAGCACATACCACATTCCATGAAACAAACACGTGAACTCGTTGGGATGCAACAGGGCAGCGGCAATAAAGATGCCAGATAACCCGGCCAAGTATAGAGTGCTGATTCCAGCCGGTAGGTGCTGCTCCAAAGACTGGGGTGAGGCTGACTTTGGTTCTAGTGTTGGCATGCCTGTCGATTTTATCTCGTTTGAAATTTGAACTGCTACACCACTGAAAACAATGCACATGATTACAGCAAAAATGAATGTCAGCAGTTTGGACACCCTGAGCTGGAAATCTTGTGACGTGAAGAGGCATATTAAGGTGTATACAAGGATTGCCAGGCTGATAACGACAATAGTAATTATTTCGTTGCCTGCAAGGCCCGAGAACACCATTCCACCCACTATACCCAAAATGACTGTGGATGGTCTGAAAGGAAGAAAAACAAGTTGGTTGAATACAATAAATTAAGAAAAAATACTTATTTTGGTATCTATATGTTTGCACCGTGAACTTGGTGAATGTAGGCATAAGCTTTGTGGAGGAACGGGACTGCCGCGGTAAACATGTCGATGTCATGTTTGCTCGGCGAGTATTTTTGCATGTCTAAAAGTTTCAACGTATTCTTCGACAGTACGATACAAGTGCAGGCACTATTGATCTGTATTTGAGAGATTCGCTCGATAAAATTTTTCCTGTGTTTATGTTCAATAATGTCGACAGAATCTGCTCTGTGCCAAGGGGCAAATTACATCTCCAACGAGTGCGTGTGGACGCCAGAAGCATAGAAAGTAATCATTAAACATTTGAGACTCTACTCACCCAATAAGAGTGGAACAGACAAGACATGTTTGGTAAAGCATAAAAAGAAAAGAAATGTGATCGTTGTTCTTCAAAATCCTCTTCCATTCACTGACAAGCAGAACAAGGTTGGCAAGCGTCGATAACGTCCAGCGACGCCTCTGCTTGTAAAACTCGTTAAAGCTTTCCGGGCAGTAAGTACTATCTCCTGCGGCTGCGCAGTACGTCAGTCGCCAGCCTCGTTCAAGCATAAGTGTACACATCCAGCGATCTTCCCCTTTAAGAAATAAGAGATCATATACAACATAGTTTGAAAGGGTTGTTTGTCAATCTCACTTATGGAAACCCACAGTCACTCACACGAAAGTTTATGACAAATTATTCCTTCTTTTCCTCAAAGCAATACTGCAATGGTATTACATACTAAAGGTCATAAGTAAATATGTTACGTTGTGTCATGATTCTCTTTGCAGTGGTGCACACCCTTGAAATTGATATTGTTTGAATTGTGATTTTCCATCTTCTCAATTCCTCCTGTTATGATGATTTAAGAGTAATCTCATCTTGTCACTTATGCTACTAGGACACCAACCCATATCTTTGGTCAGGAATTCGAAAGCGTGGTCCACACCGGTGGCATAAGTTGGTAACACCTCTCTGACGGCCTTGCACCTGTACAGACTGAAACATCCGGGACTACACAGCACTGAACCGAGTATATGATTTGCAACCTAAACCATGGAATATTGAAAATTAACGAAATAGACAACAACTCCAGAAACAACAAAAACATTTAAATAACCAAAATGACAAGAACAGAATTGCAGATTTAATCAGTTGGAAATAAGTTAAAAATATATATTTTTCGTTATCGTAGTTTTTTTCTCTATCACGTCGCTTATTTTCTCCTGTTCTAAGATCAAAAAGAGAAAGATATCGTTTCAACAATATCTCTAAAAAATTCTTCAAGACTCTTGTCAGGTGGGTGTTAAGTCTATTACATCAGTAGTCCAATAACTTCTATAACTTCACGAGCAGTCCTGCAACTTCTATGAAGAGTTCCAGAAACGCCTTTCAATAGCGATCTTTTTATTTTGGAGAAAGGGCTACACACAAATATTATTATGATATGAACAATATTATTTTACTCTTTTTCCTCGATGTATCAAATGATGATCATCCACTTGAAAGCAAAAGACTGCTAACCTTCTGAAACCAATGTCCAATGGCATAGTCAAAGATCTGGTACCAGACAACAGGTCCATTCCCCAGGGGGTAGGTACGAGCACACACTGCACCAATTATAGGGTCCTCAATGATCTGGTCTACGAGTGCCTCTACAGATTCATGAGTAAATTTGACATCGGCGTCTGTCGTTAAGATGAAGGACTGTTCATCTTTCACTGGAATGTCAAATGTTGGATTGTTCAGTTTACATCACTTACCTTGAGTTAGACTTTGTTGTGCCGTGGTCAGTCATTTGAGATTATTGTCTGTACTAGGACAAAATGTTAGTCGATCAACTTTTAACCGTTATTAAAGTAAGTAGCATCAAATGGTTCCTGTCTTTCATGGTCCTCAACAAAACTCTTTTTTCGATTCGGTGAATAATCGATAAACAGTTTTCCCACAAGAAAACAGCTGAGACGATTCAGTCGACAGGCTCAAACAGCAGAAAACGACAGATCCAGTGAACTGGGTCTAATGGAGTCATCAATCTTTTCCACCAGCAACGGTTGATTAAGACACCGTTAACCAAACCATCAAAACCTGTTTCCAAAAAATGTTGCAAAGTCTGTTGCCGTTAAAGTGATTGGACCCAACAGCATGACTTTAGATGCAAAAAGTTAGTTTTCTAAAAATCAAAAAGGACCTGAGAGACTTAAAATGTCATTTACTGGACACAGAATCATCCTTACCTCCGAGGAGACCCTGTTTAAAATCCAAAATATAGGACATGTACATCACCTGGCTCCAACGCTTTTGGTTCTTCACCTGCACACAGACGAAATATTAATTCTTCTTACAGAAGTTGCTGTCTTTGTTCTAATTCTGAAATATTTTCCTGCTTTAATTCAGTACGAATTCGTCCATCATGCGGCAATGCTCTAAGTAAAAATTTATTTATACTAGCGTGAAAAGTGACATGTTGATACATTAGTCGTGCTTCTCTCCACAAAATCGCAACCGACTCAGTGAAGTGGCCTTGAGAGATGAAGTTTTTTCTAGCACATGCTTAAATCCTAATCGAAGTCCGAGGATTATTGCATGAACCATTACGTTTGGTCTGGCTTACTTTATTCAGAAGAACGTTATTGTTAAGACTGACAGGCAACACAGCGTTTTGTTCTCTTACCTTAGCATTGTCTTTCAAATGAATAGTAAATTCCATTCCCCCTGGAAGCCTCCATTTAAGCTGCATACCATATGGGGTTTTCATCTTGCTGCATTCAGTAAGACGTACATTTAACGTCTTTTCTACCAGGGAAGCCAGCTTCAATGCATAGCTGTTAAGTACCTCTACCCTGACACATCCATCAAAAAACACGTGTGACTCAAACTGGCGTCCAGTTTTCCCGCTGTTTATGTCGACGTCAAGAATGGATCGAAGAAGTTGTTCCATTTCGTAATCTTCCTCGTGATACATTGTTGTGCAGATGAATACTCGGATGTCCCGAGAAAGGTTTTGCTGCGTGACGTGCTCCTCATCGGACGCTTCGTTGCGTCTGTTCAACAATAGATCTTGTTCAAGGCAGACACCTAGAAGACATATAATGACATCATCAGGTAGGCTCTTAGTTATCCTGCAATACACCAGCTTATTACTTCGGCGAGAAATATATCAGCTTATTAGCTCTTATTATATGACAAGATTGGGCTATCTTGCTAGGTCAGGTTTATTAACTGTTTCCTTACAAGAAAATGCTATTCTTTGTGCTATGCAATAAATTATTTTTTTACCACGCTTGTTCAGCAAAAAGGTTGGATATTGACCTCGTATTTTTTGGTTTTCATGTACCTCGACTTCGTCTTACCCATTGACACGCGAGAAAAGAATCTTAGCCAAGATTTGCCAATCTCGACCTAACACTTAGACAATAACCCATCATGATATGAAAATACTAAGCTGATGCATGCAAATAAAGCACGTCTGCCTACACTAAGCCTGACTTCCGATGGAATGCTGCCCTTCTCCCTGGTTCAACGTCTATTTTACAACAACATTTAGTCCAATTAACCTGCAAGAAAATTACTTCCCATCATTTACACTTCTGAATGCGCATGCGAATAGAGTATTTCTACTCCCTCCTGGATGGTATGTTGGTCCATCGCAGGGTTACTCCAGTATTAAATTCGCCGGTACCCATTATACCCTTGGGTGGAGAGAGGAACATTGAGAATAAAGTGTCTTGCCCAAGCACACAACACAATGTCCTTGGCCAGGGCTCGAACCCGAAGCACTCAATCCGGGGGCGAGCGCATTAACCACCGCGCCTCCATAGCAAACAATACCTCAGTTTAAATTAAAAATCTAAGTGACTGTCGATACATACCATTATAGTCTGGGATCCAGAATAGGTCATGTGCTTTCGCCATAATCATTCCTTGTCCTTTCCACACGTAGTAAGTGATCGAAACGAACTGTGCCACCCACAGAAGCGCTCCCGCTGCGAGAATGTAGATCAGATCGTCTGATGTACAAGGTAAGGGAATGGTGTCTGTCTCGCATATCCCTGTGACATGTATCACGAAGATAGCGATAGGTGTTGCTAACGTTAAAGGGAGAGCATACCCAACCCTCTGAAGGCAGAGTGAGCAGGCAAGCCAACCAAAATGGTAACCAAAGAAGCTAGCAAAAATATGGAGCAGGAAATACACAAATGATGGATTAGATACATTTATGTCTTTTAACCCTGCAAAAATACTGTCCAGCTCAACTATGTTGTAGAGCTTGATGAACATAACTGCAAGGAAAGGTGTAAGAATAAGTTTCCACAGCGAGGAAACAATGGCAGCTTTCCCGCAAGCTGTTCTTCTTTTCACAGGGGGTCCCTGGGTGACACCTTGCTCAGTGTCGCTGTTATACATGTAGTCAGAAACGTCCGAAACTGAACTCCGCATCGTGGCCTCAGGAGCTTTGTTGGCGCTCTGATGTTTGCTTCTTACTTGATGTTTCCTCAGCTTAGGCGACCATGCGATGGAGAGAAGAATAAACGCGATCGGGATACCTATCCGTCCGTACATGTCAGGTGTCTTAAAAGAAAGTANCTATTGCGAAAACGTTCCGTAACTTTTTACTGCAATTGAATATGGAAAAACGCAGATACGCTTTTTTAGCGCTTTTTGTCCTGAAACCGAGGAAAATAATAAATTGGCGAAGAACAAAAGTCGCTTTGACTTGTAGCCTCCAAAAGGTGATTAGGGCGCTCGCATTTAGTGGTCGTGAAAAAAACGGCAATTCATTTTATTTCAAAATTCTTGGTATAGTTCGATAGCCAGCTCTATAAGCCGTAATTTGATATGGGGGTTTAGGTATCTACAGCTTAAACCGGACGCGCTACATCGCTTGGACGCGAGACACCCCTAAAGGTATACGGTAACCTTAAAATGTAATTTAGTGGACACAGAATCATCCTTACCTCCGAGGAGACGCTGTTTATAATCCAAAACATAAGACATGTACATCACCTGGCTCCAACGCTTTTTGTTCTTCACCTGCACACGGACGAAATATTAATTCTTCTTACCGAAGAAGCTGTCTTAGTTCTAATTCTGAAATATTCTACTCCGTTGATTTACCGATTTGTCTTTCATGCGCAGCAATCTTCTAAGTGAAAATCTATTTATACTGGGGTGAAAAATGACATGTTGATACATTAGTCATGCTTCTCTCCACAAAATCGCAACCTACTCAGTGAAGTGGCTTTCAGAGATGAAGTTTATTCTAGCACATGCCAAAATCCTAATCAGAGTCCGAGGATTATCGCATGAACTATTACGTTTGGCCTGGCTTACTTTATTCAGAAGAACGTTATTGTTAAGACTGACAGAAAACACAGAGTTTTGTTCTCTTACCTTAGCATTGTCTTTCAAATGAATAGTAAATTCCATTCCCCCTGGAAGTCTCCATTTAAGCTGCATACCATATGGGGTTTTCATCTTGTTACATTCAGTGAGACGCACCTTTAACGTCTTTTCCACCAGGGAAGCCAGCTTCAATGCATAACTGTTAAGTACCTCTACCCTGACACATCCATCAAAAAACACGTGTGACTCAAACTGGCGTCCAGTTTTTCCGCTGTTTATGTCGACGTCGTGAATGGATCGAAGAAGTTGTTCCATTTCGTAATTTTCCTCGTGATACATTGTTGTGCAGATGAATACTCTGATGTCCCGAGAAAGGTTTTGCTGCGTGATGTGCTCCTCGTCGGACGCTTCGTTGCGTCTGTTCAACAGTAGATGTTGTTCAAGGCAGACACCTAGAAGGCATATAATGACATTGTCAGGTAGGCTTTAAGTTATCGGGCAATATACCAGCTAATTACTACGGCGGGAAATATCTTCGCTTGGCTTCGTCGCTCGATTGAGCTCCAACGTGAGCCTGCTCGCAGGCTACCGGCTTATTAGCTCTTATTATATGGCAAGATTGGTCGGGTTTACCAACTGCTTCCTCAAGTGAAAATGCTGTTCTTTGTGCTATGCAATAAATTATTTTTTTACCACGCTTGTTCAGCAAAAAGGTTGGATATTGACCTCGTATGTTTTGGTTTTCATGTAACTCAACTTCGTCTTACCCATTAACACGCGAGAAATGAATCTTAGCCAATATTTGCCAATCTTGACCTAACGCTTAGACAATAACCCATCGTGATATGAAAACACTAGTAAGCTGATGCATGCAAATAACGCACGTCTGTCTACTCTGAGCCTGAGTTCCGATGGAATGCTGACCTTCTCCCTGGTTGCAATGCAAGCTGGCCCATCGTCTATTTTACAACAACGTTTGGTCAAATTAACCCGCAAGGAAGTTACTTCCCATCATTTGCATTACTGACTGCGCATGTATCAGTAAAGAGCCCTGCTCTGGTCAAGAGTAAACTCCAAACATTTGTGTTTAGAGGTACAACGAAATAACAACTTCAAGAAACTCCCTTGAATCTTCCTAGGTAAAAAGGTAAAGTCTGGATACTTTTAAGAGCCAAGTTGTCCATGAGGCCGGCGCTTATCTCCGGTCTTAGTACCATGAAGTGACTAGGAGTGTTTCTTCTCCCCGCTGGATGGGATGTTAATCCATCGCAGGGTTACCTTCAGTATTAAATTCGCCGGTACCCATTTATATACCTGGGTGGAGAGAGGCACTGTGTGAGTAAAGTTTCTTGCCCAGGCTAGGAACACAACACAATGTCCCCGGCCAAGGGCCCGTTTCTCGAAAGCCCCGGAAACTTTTCGGGCCCGTAAAACCATTTTCAGTTCATCTGTATCTAAAAACGGAGAAGTCTATACGCCTCAAACTTCTTGTATGAAGGGAACCTCTGTTCATATTAAGAATACGTGAATAAAACAGCTCTGCGATCGTAAGGTTCGAGATTTTGCTATGGCTTTCCGGGCCCGAAAGGTTTCCGGAGCTTTCGAGAAACGGGCCCCAGGGCTCGAACCCGAAGTGCTCAATCCGGAGGCGAGCGCACTAACCACCGCGCCTCCATAGCAAACAATATCTCAGTTTAAATTAAAAATCTAAGTGATTGTCAAAACATACCATTATAGTCTGGGATCCAGAATAGGTCTTGTGCTTTCGCCATAATCATTCCTTGTCCTTTCCACACGTAGTAAGTGATCGAAACGAACTGGGCCACCCACAGAAGCGCTCCCGCTGCGAGAATGTAGATCCGGTCGTCTGGTGTACAAGGTAAGGGAATGGTGTCTGTCTCGCATATCCCTGTGACATGTATCATGAAGATAGCGATAGGTGTTGCTAACGTTAATGGGAGAGCATACCCAACCCTCTGCAGGTAGAGCGAGCAGGCAAGCCAACCAAAATGGTAACCAAAGAAGCTGGCAAAAACATGGAGCATGAAGTATACAAATGATGGATTAGATACGTTTATGTCTTTTAACCCTGCAAAAATACTGTTCAGCTCGACTATGTTGTAGAGCTTGATGAACATAACTGCAAGGAAAGGTGTAAGAATAAGTTTCCACAGCGAGGAAACAATGGCAGCTTTCCCGCGAGCTGTTCTTCTTTTCACAGGGGGTCCCTGGGTGACACCTTGCTCTGCGTCGTTGTTATACATGTAGCCAGAAACGTCCGAAACTGAACTCTGCATCGTGGCCTCAGGAGCTTTGTTGGTGCTCTGATGTTTGCTTCTTATTTGATGTTTCCTCAGCTTAGGCGACCATGCGATGGAGAGAAGAATAAACGCGATCGGGATACCTATCCGTCCGTACGTGTCAGGTGTCTTAAAAGAAAGTAGCAATATCATTGATAGTAATATGGAATAAAGTTACAGAGAAAAATAAAATCTGTGAAAGATTCCTTTTAATAGTTATTCGGACATATCAGAAAGCGCGCATTGAGTGCAAAACAAGCTAAGTTTCTAATTCAGGAGGTATCAACCAATGCATTAAATTAAGGCAGCGTTGTTTCTTTTCATAAAATCTATTTTTAAACATCAAGGGCTGCGACTAAGAATTGCCTTAAATATTAAGACTGAATATTTACAACATGCCAAGGTAGTAAGGATGTACGGATAAGACCTATATTCTGAAGAGAAGTGTAAACGTTAAATGTCGTAAATTATATTATGATGACAAAATAAACTAGTCCAACATAGATGTTATTCTCGTGGGAGTCATTCTTTACACCTAGATACTGAAGACCGTAGGTAGACGAATCTGACTACGAATTAAGGAGTTGGTTACGTTCTCAATTGAGTGTCGTGAAACCAAACCTAAAGTAATCAGATTGATCAATCACAAAGAACGTAACACAGGCGGCCCGAGTATGTTACCAACACGAAGAGCGGAAAAAGCGCTAGTCAAGATTGCTTTCAGTGTTACTTTTGATTGGTTGAGAAGGTTAACAAATTTCTGACGACCTGCTGCTCTACAACGTCAGTCAAGAAATTGACGTCAGTCTGCGGGTCCACTCGGCTTTCGCCTCGTGAATCCACAGCTGTTATGACGACATTCATTGTCAATAACAGGACAGACCCATGAAAAAGTGACGTCAATTTGTTTTTTACGATAACAAATTGTCACATTGTCCGCCCTCGCTCGTTGACGCATCTCATAAACCATAAATTCATGTGTCTGCCCCGTTACTGACAATGAAAATTAGCCAATGATCGCGCGAGAATTTCTGCAGTTGTCGTAACAAACAGGACAGACGCATGAAAAAGTCACGTCAATTGCCACATTGTCCGCTCTCGCACCATCGCCCAAATTATAAATCTCATGCGTCTGCCCGCTTATTGACAATAAAAAGTAGTCAATGAAGTAAGTTAGTAAGTAAGTAAGAACTTTATTTAAGTGTCAATGTATTTAGCCCACGTGGGCTAATTGGGGACACGCGAGAATTACTGTAGTTATTGTTAAATGGCCTATCGTTAACGTAATAACTGAATGCAAAACCAAGCCAAATACAAATTGCTTCCCACGGTCCAAGTGAAAACCACTCTAATCACCGGCTTAGCCATTACCTTCCAAGTTAACAGCGCAATACCAAGTACGGCAATGACAGCAGATGCTGAAAATTTGAAGGCGTGCAACTTGCCACTTGTTGTGTGGAAGCGTGATCTTGATGATGTGGCTTGCCATATCGAAGGAACCACAGCTAGGCTGCACATGAGCAGTACAATGACACTGGGATCTACTGGTAAAACCGCCAGTCCGACTATGGTTATATAACAAAGGGACAGAGTTTCCAGGAACCCACCAATCAAAATCTGCAATTGCGAGTGACATTGAGGAATGATTAATAGAAGCAATGCAAGGAAAATGACAAGTTAAAGGCATAAGAAACAATAACAGCAGCAAATTTCATGACTAGCCGCAGGCGACTTATTAGAATTCCAGAAAAAATATAGACAAAATTGCCAAAACTGTCCAGTTGAGTCAGCTGTCATTCCAAGAATTGACGTTTATGTTCGCAAAATTGTTACAGCGATGGAATATTTCAGGCCGGACTTTTTTCAATAAAGTCGACTGGAAGCTCTTTAATCAAGATGACTGATTGACACTGACAGTGTACGTGGCGTTCTGTCCCGTCCATAAAAAGTAATATAACCAATCAGGATGTAGGATTTATTAGACCTATTGACCAAAATTCAACTTTGTTCGAAATTTTGCCTGTTTTGTTCTTACCGCCTGCATTGGACGGACGTCTTAAAAACTCCAAAATATTGTCAGCGCTAAGGCCTGGTTTTCAATACGACATAAGTACCAGCACAAGCAGAGCTGAACAGTAGTGAGAACGCGCAATAAATACACGCTAAATGGCAACTTTTTACAATATCATAGTCTTTTATCTGCGATCCCTCAAAGTTGGAAGAAGCTCCTACAAGTTAATTCTGGCGACTCTACTACATCCCCGCCGCCAATACTATAACGTGCAAGCTAGATGTTATACGACAAACTGTTAACCTTAGAAAATCTTCCTCCTCCTACTTCAGAAAAAAACTCTTATCATACGGCATCGCAAAAGAGAATCTAAATAAAATTTATCT